ACATGCTTATTGCTCATTGCTCCATCCGGTTCAATATGCACAATTGGTCATCCGCATCCGCACACGGAAGTCCCAGTTCTAGCTTGTGCCTCGAGTTAACTCGAGTCAATGCTGTGAAAGTTCTATAGCCTCTTCTTTCTTTTTCGCATTGCCCACGAAAAAAAAGCGAGACCATCACAGGGAAATGATTTGACCCAGGCTCGGACTGGGGACCTTCTGTTCAAAACAGTCCCACCTTTCGTTTGTTAGCCAGATACGATAACCAACTACGCCATCGAACCATTTGGAGAGCGTCGGTTGTCTTGTCGTAAATGGTGATAATGACATCGGTTGCGTTGGATTCGCAACCGCGGCACGCCCCTATCAGTTTGGGGATTGGGCACCATCGTCAGGAAGATCCTTCTGAGTGTGTTAAGCCCCCGTAAAACATTCTGTATCAAACCTCGCTTTGTTTCAATCAATTCCGAACTATGGGTGACCGGTGCCCGGTGAAGGCTGGCTTAGAACTGAGGAAGAAGGTTTGCATGGGGGACCCAAATACTGAGCCCCCTCCTCGTTGCTCGACCGTAAGGTATCTACTTGAGAAAAAAAACGGTTCAGCTCAAAAAAAATCAAACCAAGCCGGCGGGGAATCAGGAATCAAGATAAGTAAAGAATGTGGCGTTGGACGGAAAATTGAAGCTTCAACTCGGCCTCAAGAAACAAGAACCCGGAAAGTTGCCTAACCGGACTCAGAGAAGAATAGTCCAAGATTTCAGATAGTCGGTATCCCGGCGACCAGGTGGGGTTCTTGATTTGAGGGGGCGACTTTGAGTACAAAATGAATCGTGTATTGTTTTGGGTATTTATCAGTCATTCGATCTTTGGTCGGGATGGTAGAGAATGATGGAGGTTCACATACGAACAAGGTAAGAATTCAATCACAGGGCGGATGAACGATTTGCTCAGATGGATAGCTCTAGCGAGCGATCGAGAGTTGGATCGCCTGTCCAGCTTCGCGGCCTTCGTCCAGAAAGGACGTTGTTTTGTAGCTTGGAACCGGTCTAGTTCTTATCCACTTTACCTAAAGGCGTCTTTGTCATAACAGTCAAGACCTCGAAAAGAACCTACGAGGTCGGAAGAGTATTACAAGCTATTGAGCGAAGACTCATGAAGCAGACGGATTGATTAGACTCACATCGGCAGCGGCCATGGTGGTCAACTCAGCGTTCGTGTCATATGCTGGCGCCACCTCAACAATGTCGGCGGAGACGATATGAAGACCATCCAAGCCTCGTAGGATAGCCCGTAGCTCACGAGTCGTCCAACCGCCTGTTTCCGGGGTTCCAGTGGCTGGAGCAAATGCAGGATCGATTGAATCGATCTATTTAGATGGAAAGCGCCACTGGTCAGTTTACATGCAAACACGAAGGAGTACACGGTCCGACTCACATCGATGGAAAGATAGACAGGATTATTGCCGACCGTCTCGCGAATCTTTTTGATGATGCCCTCCGTGCCTACGACCGTGAGTAGATAAAGATCTTCTGGACAAGGTTTGGGAGCCCCTACCGATCGTGTCGATCTCGCGAGCTTCAATTCGCTGGAACCCGGAAGCATCGTCGTTGTCGTAGTCATCCAAGCTCGACAAGGTGGTGCGGATGGCCCCGTGCTAGACGACAACAATTAGCTAGGATGATAACGAGACGGAGGAGTGGGAAATGGGAACAAAAGGCACTCGCAATTGATGAGCCGTTCTTGATCAAACCTTCCTGGCTTGCCCAATAGAAGTAAGTACCGTGGTTGATAGCAGCTTGCTCAGAAGGAGCACCGCCGAAAACGGAGGGTTTCCATGTATCTAGGTAATGAAGTTAGTCGACAGCAAATAGAGCAACACCGGGTTCCATGTAGAGATACAAGCTCACCAAGATGGGAATCAAAGTGAATAACAGAAATCTTCCCATAGGCGGAGTAAATCGAACGTAAGAGAGGAAGGACAATGGTATGGTCACCACCGAGGGTGATGATGCGGGGGTGATGCTTGCCGTCAATGGACAAAGGCTGGAGAGGTCTCCCTTCCTCGTCGTTGCCCAACGGAGCAAAAGGCTCCCTATGAAGAAGGTCTTTGTGACCGGTTTCAATCTGCTGGATTGCGTATTTATTGTCGTACGGCCTGAAGATATAGCCGTTTAGAGCAAAGCGACAGCGACAAGTCGAGGACGTACGTCACTGGGATGTCCCCACAGTCTACGATTCTCAGTCCGGATTTGAAGGGGTTGGCTTCGAGAGGGACATTGTACCCTCCGCAAAGGGGTAAACGCCGAGATCCCGCTCGAATACCGGCTGAGAAAGCGATAGAAAAAGATGTGAGTGCTAGAGTGGTAATGGCTGCCCACCTGGGCCGAATCTCGCTCCGGGGCGGTAACTTGTACCCGTATCCTACGGGGTTTCAAGTTAGAATCACAAATGGGTGCAGCAGCCACGTAGTGAGTTAGGACCCACGAATGGTGCCCCCAAGAACGCAATATCGAAGAGGACGTCCTTTTCTTTGCTAAAGCATTGGACCCACGGCAGTTTGGCAAAGGTGGTGATACCGGAAAATACAGCATTCGCGGTGACTGAGCCGGGGTATGTATGGGCAGGTTCAGTCATCGATAGACCTAGCAGAGCAGATGGACAAACCTTCTCCATTGTACCGAAAGTCTACCGGATACTGAACGTAGCCTAGTGGCATCTGATCAGTATGCTCATGGCCTAAATGGCCGTAGGATGCAGGGATCAAAACGGTGGTTAGAACGAAGAAAGTGGTGCAAGACCTCATTTCAAGACTCTGGGAAGACTGGAGGGATATGGTGTCGGTAGGATGGGGAAAGAAATCGAGACAGTTAAAAACGAAGGACGGCATGACGAGAACTTGATTACCTATCAAGATAAGAGGAGGTCATGCAGAACCTTTTAGGCTCACCTGAAGGCGATAGGATGAATTTCTATACCGCATGTTCTGCCTTGAGGCGAATTTGGAGCTCGCGTGCCACGGGAAGGAGGGTTACCCTGAGAGAACGAAGTCTCGATTCAGTGCGTGTTCAGATACAGAGAATCATGAAATTCAATGGGTACCCTGTGAAATCAGTTTTACGATACTGATGAACAAGATACGCCCGGTGAGCGGTACAAAAACCAAGAATTCCGCGGAAGATCGACCCACTTGAATCATTCCTGGATGAAAGGATTCTAATAAGAGGCGTCTGGTGTCCAGTCTTTGGCTTGGAAGTTTCTCAGTCAGCCTCGCACGGAACGACGCTTTACACCACTATCTCCCGCTCTCGTTTAATGGCTCGTTACCCTGCCGCAGGCCTACATCGAAGAGGGAGAGGGAGGGCAAAACTCATAGCAGATCGGAATAACGCAACGTAAGTCCATCACTTACATCGCACGCCAGAGCCACGAATAACGATTTTGCCCACTCCCAGCTGTCTACGTCCGCGGGACATTGGGATGTCTCGACTGGCATGGTTTCAGTGTCGGTATCAGTGTCGAGCTCGGGCTCGCCGAGAGTCGAGGCGAAGCCAAAAGCGTATCTCCATGGTGAATTCGAAGGTGGGGGTAAGAAAGGTTCTGAATCGTCCTTTCACAACTCGGAGGGCGTGCAAGTTGATTGGATGAAGGTGGGATAGGATCCAAGCGACAAAGATGAGGAGCTGCTGGCTTTGATAACAATTTGACTTTTACCTCCAAGATGAGATCTTCAGGTAGCTCCAACATCCTTCTCAGATCCTCGAGTTTCCGATGTTTTCGTACGATGTGTCTAACACAGATCCGGGTGTTGATACGTACGAAGTTGTCCAGAGTGCGAGGGACAGAAACAACAAAAAGGCGGGGGTGAACAGAGTAGATGGTAAGGCCAGTAGGAGACGTACGAGCAGCCTCAAGTTACACCATATCCCGATTCTTGGGCCTACCAATCAGTTCACCATCACGTTCCGTATTCCCCTGAACATCGTGAAATGGAAATAGCGTGGGTGGTACGCGAAAGTTGGTGGGAGCTATACAAACGTAAACGTGGTCAGGCTCGGAATCCATGGATATCCTCACCTCTCGGAACCCTGGAGCGAAGGGCAACGTCTGAAGTTGAGGCCTTGCCAAAATCCGAGTCTTCGAGATGAAATTCTTCCAAGCTGTCTGAGTCGTGAAAAGGTAGGGCTGTAACATTGATTCGCGAGCCAAGTCTTCTTTGGATGGACAGAATGGTAAGTACCCGAGGGTTGCGAGCATCCCTTGAGCTTGACTGTCTTCTGGAAAGCTTGAGTGCGCCATCCTTGTGTCATGTTTGCTGTTTGAGGCGCCAAATTAACGAAGAGAAACCCTATATGTAGTGACTGCAAGAAAAGAAACCGGGTCATTTCCTGTCATTTCGTTCACGGCTGAGTGGTACCTTCCAAAACTCCGGAACTTTGGACAGCTATAACAGTTTCAATTCACGTGCGTACGTTTCGTGAATGATAAGGAACGCCATACCGTTGCACAGGTAACAAGGGAGTTTCTGAGTGACTGTCGTGAGGTAAAGGCAAATGAGGGCGCGTGAGAACAAAGGTGCTTGGTATTGTGGGGTCGCACATAAGCGCCCGTGGATTACCATGCTTTGACGACAACCACGACTACGACGACCACGTTGACAAAAGAAAGGGCAGCTACGGGTTCAGCTTGGTTCAGAGGTTAACCTGCGACAGTTATTATCGCATCACACCTTAGAAATACTGGATTCGTTCTTTCAGCTCAGAGTGTCTTCGAACGAGTCAACTATCCGCAACTACTTGTATACTTTTATCTCACCTAGCGCCCTTATCTCTGGTATCCCACCGTCAGAAACCTCGTCGGCTGATATCCAGGAGCTAGAACCCATTACTATCCACTTTCATCCCGATAGATAACAGCTTGTGTCCGCGTAGGATGGCCGATCACGATAACGAACTGCAGCATATTCAGAGGTTGTGGTATCGCTTTGGTGTTCGCTATTCCCATTTTTGGTTTACTGGGACTATCAGGTGAGTTCCCTAAACCGGTGTAAGTACCCATGCTGATTTATATCAAGGCCATATTTATCCTAAGGCTACTTATAGGTCTGAACCTAATATCCCGACTCTGCGTCTCTCTTTTCTTGGTGTCCTCCGTGTCCTTCGTCGTATACTCGCATTCGATGCTTGCCCTACAGATCAGTCGACTTCTACTCTGATCGATCGTACCTTGGCCTATTGGAGAGCCGGAAGTACTGCCCTCTGCCTTGTCTCTGGCGTTCCCAAGGTTTAATCACTTCATGCAATGACGGCGCAGCCCGGCGATGATATCGACTCGTTGTTGGGCTTCATAAAAAGATGATCTTACGGTACATCTACATATAAAGGGTGTTGGATACCTGGTCCAGAGGTAAGCTGTAGCTATCATGTCCGACGAGTCTGCCCATCCACGTTACACACTCGCCAGGACTTTTCAACTGGTAGTGGTGACTCCGTTACTTATCAACTCGGTGCGTGTTTTTTACCTATCTCCATGCGGCCTATTCGTTCATCGGTTTCTTCCTTCACCTCCAAGATCAACCTTTTTCTCTACGCCATCTATATTTTTCTCTTCCGAAGGGTGCTGTCTATCCTCAGATCCCGAAAACCATTTCCTGCATTCCGCTTTTACCAGATCACTCTAGTACTCCTCTTTGTCCTCGCTTCAATCAGCGTGCCTATCTCCCTTGTAGACGATCTCATCCAAGCGGCAAATATTCTTTGGGTGTATGAGGGAGCGGAGTTCCCCGCGAGATTGCTGGTTGTTCTCATTGATTTGTAGTAAGTTTCACTCTATTCCCTTCTGCTGAATGTGACTGACAAATGGGTGTACTATTAGCATCTGCCAATGTTGCATCCTTTCGATGATGGCGTACGAAATGGGCTCTCTTGCGTTGATGTTTCTGTTCTGAAAAGATTATTGTGTTCAGGATCGCAACAGATAGCATCAGGGTGGGTTTCCCATGCAATCTAAGCTTTCAGGGCTGTACTGATAGGTCTCGTATCCAGATCTTTCGTTGCTACGTTCTTTGGGTCTTCAAAAAGCGGTATGTCGTGGGGCCCCTCCTCGGGTTGATCTTAATTGACCGTGGGTCCTTCTAATGCTGGCATATGCGACTGATACTTATATACCCCTGGCTTTGCAAGTGACGCTCATCACAACTGCCTTTCTGTCCTTATCTGGCTCCCGAGTACTGGTAGTGGTATGGAATGGCTGTTTCGTCGCCTACATCGTGTTGAATCTCATACTAGCTGGTATGATAGGTAAGTGCCACGTTTCTGACCCACTGAGACTTCCCGACTGACCTTCGAATGGTCTGCCTCAGCTGGACGATTAGTCTGGATCTCGCGAACGCGTAGAAGTTCGCTAGGAGAAGCAGCAGTCAGACGGCTCAATAGTATTGTGTCTGTTCTGTACGTGTTTTTTTTATTGCAAATAGTCTTCCTAGACTCATGGTGACCCATTTGTACTCCTAGCGTCGAATCAGGCTTCCTGATTGTCATCGCCATGGTCGTATGGGTCGTAGGCAATCATTTACCAGTTAAGTACTGGTTTGATGCTGGACCTTTAATGATTCAGGTGTTGGTACGTTGTAATTTCCTTTTGTAGATTTCCAAGAATAATTCGGTGCTGGTAGGGCATTACTCCGACACTAATTGTCGTTCGTGCAAATGCATATCGGGATGATTTTGAAGCAGATCAGGTTGATCCGCGCGGACATGCCGAAAACAGTACAGGAGATTCGGAACCATAGCAGGAATGTTTTGACGCGTCCTTGTATTGGCAGTTCATGTATGGTACACAAGTTGCACACTGCCGTTGCATGCAGGTGACTGTCGCTCCTCCACAGTAGTGTTCAGACCTGAGCAATTTGGATATGGGAATACAACTCCGAGAGTGGATCACTTGATGGGGTTACCAGAAAGTTGGGAATTCAAGGACGAACGGGACGAACGAAGTTGGTTCTCGCTTAACGCCCAAGTTCGTTGAGTGTCGACCGGCAAAGCATCATCTGGAGGTCAGCTAGTCAAATGTCCTCTATTTCAAGCGGCAAGTCAAGTAAGTACAGTCAGTCTTTTGTTTCATATTGTGTCACCCTCATGACCGCCGCTGCGGCTACGAGAGAGAGAATTAGAACTCTTCGGCGTGATAGTACACGGTTTCTCTTTCCCTTGCTTCTCACTCGAAAGTGGCGCTTGGGGTAGAGCAAGCCGTCCTTCCATGGCTTTACGAACGAGCCTCAAGCTTACATCTCCACTTATAGAGCAGACCCGATCAGCAACTTGAAACCACCATCGCATTGCAATCACTCGTCGGCACTCCATCGGGAACTTTTAAGGCATTTCGTCGATCAACATCCCTCGCCGATAGCGGTCACCCTCTTTGTGAGCGCTGAGACGGCCACCGTGAATCATTTCGGCTTGTCGATGATAGGTAAAGTTTTCCCGTTGAAAACATACACGTCGGACCACAAGCTCTCGACAGAAATGAACTAAAGTAAGTTCGAGGGTAGCCCACCGCGAGGGTCCAACTCGCAGCCTTCAGGTCAACCAAACACTAGACTACTATAAGAGTCTGACGCTCTATCCGATTGAGCTAGGCGGGTGATATGTACAGCTTTGACCCCCCCGTTGATGTGGAAGGAAGGGGTCCAGGGGTCAACCGGTCACGTTTCATGGCGACTCGGGTTATACCAACTCAATTCCCAGTGTCCACAACTCTGTTCCGATTCAATTATACTAACTTTGTGCAATGCGGGTATCTATATCATGAATCATGATGATTGCTCGCGTTCCAGTTGAGGTCCTCGATGCTAAGTCATTTGCTTCGGGAACAAGCTGACTCAGTACAACAATCTCGGCCCGGGAGTTGGACATGGATTCCTGGACTCACGGCGGCGGAGTTGGCTTTTTTGTCTCTTCCGATTATCGTTGCAAGTCCGTCGCCCCTGATGTCCACCGGAATCAACTTGTCAAGGCTTGAACCCCCTATCATTTTTTGCTCCGCAGCTACGTTTGCGGGCCCTGGGCCTTGTCAAATTGAATCTAAGGTTTCCGGAACCATCAGTCTCATACTTGAGCCGCATCGGACGGAAGGGCTCGAAGCCCCGACTCACAGTGCTTCGGCTCCGAATAGATAAATTCGTAGGTTGTAAGCAGCACCAGAGGGCTTCGTCTCTCTTTTTCTGAAGTTCTCGATCATCAGCCCGATCCTTGCCTGGAAAACCTTACACGACAGAGCATGAATTGATTTCTTTGTTTGTTTTCTTGTAACTCTAACCTGGACCCTCGACGCACGCTCTTAACTTTGGAGCCCAGATGAGTTCTATGTTATGCGTAGTCGCGACTCGCGACCATTTTTTCCATTTAAAAACAACGATCCGATACTATCCAAAGTCAAAGCACAGAGGCTCCTTCCCGTCCGGCCATTCGAAAGGGGCCCTCGGATGTTTGCGTGTCCTCCCGATTTGGTGTGTATACAATTGAGTCGTGACCTAACCAACAAGCCACCGTTTCAGTTCTTGAGAAAACACCGCGGAGCCGGAAGGATGTGTCAGGTGTGTCAGTTTGTGAACTCCAACTCACCCGTCAACAACTTGCAAAGTCCTATACCATTATGCATGATGGCGTGGGAAATTACAAACTACAAACCACAAACTACATCTAGCCTAGGTCGTGAATATAGAATAGCAACTGCTATCATTGCCAGGGAACTGTCGTACAAACCAGCAGAGGACTAACCCAATAACACCGCCTCGGAATTCAGGGGTCCCTGGTCGGTTGTGTATTGAGAACGTGAACGTAGTGCCCACTCGACTCGGGACGGATAGGTACCAGAACAGGTTTTCTCCTCGACCGGACGAGTCACATACGCCCTTTTGACCTCCGTGGTGGCTAGATGAATCTCGTCTTGGAGAGACGTACTTGACTCGATGAATCGGTACGCCGCTCTTGCTATCCAATTTCGGTTCCGTAGTGTAAGGCTAGTCCGTTATGAGACTATCCAAGGGGGTATGTATTGATCGGAATTTTGGAAAAGACAGCTTTGACACGGGCTGAGACGGTTCATCATGCTCGGCTCAACGCAGGATGAACTTGATATTCGTTCACCGTTCACCGTTCCCCTTCCATTCTCTATCGAGTCTTGATGATATTCCTGTAGATTGCTCCCGACTTGAGAGCACCCAAGTATTGGAGTAGTTCGTTTGATCTAGTAGGGATGATTAAAAAAAAAAAGTCTAACATTTGACTCGGGGCAAGTCAGATTTCCAAAGCCTGTCCTCCCCCATAAGAGTCCGACGTTCTATCCAAGACAGCTTTGACCCTCCTCCGTACGCGTATTGTCAGGGGTTTCGTGGGTATTCGGATAATCCTCAACCACACTGCACCGATACAACTTACTAGGAAGAGGCAGCTTTGACACGGTTTCCGCGGGTATCATAAATCATGGTTCCGCGAGATTCAGGCCCAGGACTGAGAAAAAATGTTCGGGCTTCACGTCTCTACTTCCATTCTCGATTATGATGAAAGAAAGAAAAAGTCTGACGCTCGGTTCAAGAATCTCCACACTACAGCACAGTGAATTTCCGGTTAGCGTTGTAAATCAGTTCCTAGAAAAGGCTACCTCCCCCCAAGTGAACTATGGAAAACGATCAACCTTCCTGCCGGCGGTGACAGCTTTGACTCCCCCCCTCCGTTGAATGGTCAGGACTCAGGGGTTTCGCAGGCACTCGGATAATCTTATATCACAGCCCAACTTCAACTTACTAGGTTGGGAAAGGCACTGGCAGCTTTGACATGGTATGGTATCGTGATTCATGTTCCGCGGCCAGGACTAGGAAAATGGATGAAGATATTCGGGCTTCGGCATGAAGGCTAGTGAGGTTCGGACAGTGCTAGGCATTTACTTCAGTCTCAGGGAGTCGAGATAGCCTTACTCGAGAGTCGACCGGTACCCCCCCTCCCCTTCCCCAGGGTTTCTGATTTCTTGGAGCTCATACAGCGAGTTAAAATTTCAAGTAGAATTCACCGTCATCAAGAAAAAAATTGACAACCACAAATGCAGAATAGCCCACCGCGAGGGTCGAACTCGCAGCCTTCAGATTATCCACATGCTGGCACATCTACTGCACATAAGAGTCTGACGCTCTATCCGATTGAGCTAGGCGGGCGATATGTACAGCTTTGACCGCTGTTGAGATCTGAGACGTTTCATGGGTAATTATAGTCATACCCGCTTGGAAAATTCTACGACCACGATCACTTCCGTGGCCACAAAGAGTTTGGACTGTGAAGAACGCCCCCTTTTTACTCGATACGAATTGGGGAAAGGCAGCTTTGACACGGGTCTACGGGTCTACGGGTATCATGAATCATGTTCCGCGGGCTCTACCACTAGACAGAAAGAGAGATAGTGTTCGGGCTTCACGCCTTCTCGATTTGATGCCAACGTCAATTCCCGTTGGACGATTCTCCCGACTCCCGATTCCCGGAGCCCCAGTCGAGCTGTCTGATGTTCGACGGTGACGGCGAAAATGGCCAAGTGTCTTCTAGATAACAGCGGAATAAATGAATGATGGTTCAAGCGTCCGTATCTTCCGCGGAACATCGGGATTCGTACTGGCAGTTGGTTGATCGATGTCCCTCGTTCGTTGTTCGTTCGTTGATTGATGCGGGGAAGGAAGGTACAGGGGTATCGCACGTGCAAGTGATCGATGCGTACAACAAGTCTTTCTTCTTTGTCTTTGTACACTTTGTAGTTGTTATACACATACATCCAATGTATAGATATAGATAGAGAAGAAAGAACGAACGTCTTGTAAGTATATAAAATAAACGAGTGAGGTAAATGGGGTATGATAGGGGTATATTGTGTAGTGGGGTCATGAAGGGTCGTAGAACAAGGGGTATCCGAACGAGAGGAAGGGGGAAGGGGGAATCACATCATGGCAAACGTGACCCCATTTCCGATACCACCGCCGGACTGAGGGTGGGTCGTCCATCCCGCTTCGAACGGCTGGGGATAAAGCGGGAGAGGAGGGCTAGCGCTTCCGCTGGACGTCATCGAGGCCATCGAGTTTGACCTGTCTCGTCGTTGGTGGTAAGGAGGGGGAGGAGGAGGCTGTTGTTGTTGTTGTTGGATGGGAAACTTGTCATAGGGGAGGTTCTGATGATGATGAGGATGATGATATTCAGTGGTGTACCCATCAAACGATCCAGGGGTAGCAATCATAGGTAACGACTGTGGATGATGCACAAACGGCGGTCGTTGTTGTTGTTGCTGTTGTTGTTGTGGGTGGGAATAATCCGGATACCCACCCATCCCCGGTTCCGGTGGTGGTGGTGCAGCCATCATCATCCTCTGTTGTTCCTCAACACCAATCGCTCCACCCTCCTCACCAGTACCGTCGTCCCCATAGAACCCATCCTCATCGTCGTCACCCCCACTCGTCACGATAGGTATAACCTCCAACTCTTGATTCAACACCATCGAAAATCCATCCCCTCGAACAGGTTCCTCAACCCTCGAAATCCCCGCCCGATCTCTCCACTCGTTGAGCTCATGTCTCAGCTGATCCGCTTCGAGCTTCATCATCCTCAGCTCGCGCGAGGCGAGGACGCGGTGTCGACGGGAGGCGTGGATGTGTGCGATGGACGAGTTGACGATGGCGGATTTGGAGGGGCGTCGGATTTGAGAGAGGTTGGGGAGCATTTTGGCGAGGTCCTAAAATAAAAGTAGAAAGTAGGGAACGCGTTGTTTAGTGGCCGAACGAGAGGGAAAAAATGAAAGTTGTATGCGCGTACCAAAAACCTCCCATTCAACGTTTCCCTTCGAGCGCGTTCAACGGCGTTATGAGTCGCTCGACGTTCGGCGGTGTTGGCTCTTCTCGATGATTTTTTCAGGTTCTTGGGTGTAGGCGACACAGGCGTTCGAGGCCCAGAAGACGATTCGTCCGTTGAAGAAGGGGACAAGGCATTTGGTGGGAGTGTACTCCCAGCGCCTGAGGGGATGACTAGTGGGAGTGTCATTATCATGTAGTAGAGCGGGGTTTCTTCGCGAGCTGGGCTCAAGCGGGTTGTTGGTTGTGTTTGTGCGGAAAAAGGTGATGTCGGTAAGGGTCGCGAGATCTAATAACATGTCAGAAGAGGTTACAAACGATACAACTAGAATACTCACACCAAGCGTTATCCTTAACACGACGAGGGTTCGTGCGGAGGGAGAGAGGGAGGAGGGGGAGGAGGAAGAAGGAGAACAAGGGACGAAACTGAACAAAGGGCGAGCTGAGGCGATTTCGCCAGGGGATCCAGGTATATATAAACCCTACATCAATATATATAATTTGATGGGGGAGAAATCAGATCTCATCTAGATTTTGTCCATCCCCATCATCCGGTCAACTGACCAAACGAACGCTGGGTAAGTTTGTCGCCATCACCCATTTCCTGTCCTTGTTGTCCTCGGGGATGACGAAACTGCGGGTTGGTCAGTCAAGTATGTATCTTCCCAGAAGGTAGATGAACTGCCACGGGAGTATGTAACGCCAGCCAATTCCTGGGTCCTCGAGGCGTGAGGTAGCAACTCGTCGCCAAGCACCTGGATTCTTCCACAAAGAAAAATCAAAAGCTCAGGTCACGCTCTTTTGGTTTCCAGGGTCAGAAGAGTCAGCGCCTCGTTGTCCCAGCCTGCGTCAGAACCCTCTCAAAAGAAGTTTCCTGACGTGGTCAAAGCATCTAAAGCTGCAGCATCCTGGCTGACTCCACGATATGATTCAATATTGTCACTTAGCGTCCAATATCCGCCGGCAGAACGTCCCTTCAGACCTTATGTAGGGGCATTCAAAGGAGCTCTACTGTCTACATACACGCCCAAGCCCGCTCACCCCGTTTATTGATCCACAAAGAAGATCCGGACGTAGCCCAAGCCGTAGAAGTTGGAACAAAAACCTCAGAAGCCTCTTATTTCATTCATTCATCCAGCGAGCCAGTCAGAAGAGGTCCCAGAGCACTTTTCAGACCATTACCGGTCAACTCGGAATCAACGAGAAGGCTCATACTTAGGGCATCGGAAGGAAGGCAGGAAGGAAGGATAGGAGATAGAATCCAATATCCGTCGGCAGATCAGAACGAAAAAGCCTCTTTCATTCATCCAGTCACCGGTCAGGAATGGGAGATGGGGGGGGGGTTCAAAAGCCAAAGAAGACTAACACCGGCCCACTCGGATTTGCCCTCTTCCAGCCATTGTGTAGATAGTAGATAGTAGATAGGGGGGGGGAAGTTGGAGCGTCTAATATCCGCAGGTACTTGGAAGATCCCCTCCAGGGCCGTTCTACTCATTACCGGTTTGTATCTACCCTGTTCCCACCGAGATATGAAGATAAGTATGTAGAATTAAGAACCACAGAAACGCGTATTTGGGGAGGGGGGAGAGGGAGCAGTGAGCCGTGGGTGTGAGCATCCTTTTTCAATCTCTCGAGTCGAGTATCAAGTATCAAGTTTCAACATTCCGGACGACTCGGATACATCCACTCTTGTAAGGACAATCCGGATTCGAGAAAATGTCAATGTCAGACTCAGGGGTTGGAACGTTCTAATATCCGGTAGAAGATCCTAGCGGCTAGCGGCTCGCCCACTTCCCAAGTTCCATGTTCCATGTACCCCGCTCGATCGTCGGCTTACAAGTGACAGACTTGGCGTTTTTGTCGTTTGTCGTTTGGCGGATTCGAGGGGGCAGGGGTTGAAGGCGCCAGGGCGGGGTAGAGTTCAGAGTGACACTCCGGTTACTTACGTCGAAGGATTGGGGGTTGATGCATATGTAGGGTCAAGATACGATAGTGACCGAGTCGGAAGCCCGAGTGTTGAGCGCTGGAGTAACCTCAAACTCTCTCGAGTTATCTAGAGCCCCGGGCCCCAGTACCGTTTCGTTTTCGTGTACAGACGGTGGGAAGCATGAGCGCCAACATTGAGATTTCGAGAAATCATTCTTGTCGATCCTCACTGAATCACCGCTGTCAATTATCGATCGTGTTTGGGGAGGTACTAGTAATCGCCTAGGATCCCATTTGTTTGAGCTCACCTGAGATTCTAAGTTATAGGTATGGTATGGTATGGTATGGGCATTCATGATTCATCGTATATCATATTCAACGATTTCTAAAACCCGCGACAGCGACACGTCCTCAACTCAGCTCAGCTAGAGTAACACATGTGCATGAAAGAAACTCACAGATCTTTCCTGAAATCCTGGGATAGCAAAAGACCTACTCCTACTCGATTTCGATGGTACTACATCTCCGAGCAGACTAGTATTTCACATTCCGAAATGATCGACGATCGACGAATTCACTCGACTGTGTGTGCCTCTCGACCCTCAACGTTCAAGATCAAGAAGCAAGAGGGGTCAAAGCAATCGACAACCCCCAACCTAAGACCTTGACGACATCCGGGATTCGAGAAAGTAATGTCAATGTCAAAAACATACAGGGGTTCTGGAAAGTGATAATATCCGCCGCCGGCAGAAGATCCGTTCTAGTATTATACATACTAGCGGCTTTGCAAGTCGACAACTTCCATTGTGATATGTACCCCGCTGCTCGATCGTCGGCTTACAAGTTACAAGTTTACAAGTAATGACAGACTTGGCGTTTGGCGCCCATGATTCGAGACTGGGCAAACTCCGGTTACTTACGTCGACGTCGAAGGGATGTTTGGGGGTCATGGATTTCGTATTGTGATGTGGGGTCAGGATACTATACTACAGTGACTGAGTCCTGAGCGCGAGCGCTGACCTGAAACTCTCGAGCCCCTCGTCACACAGCAACACAACCTTGGAATTACGGTGGGAAAGATGAACATTGAGAAATCATTCTTGTCGATCCCCCACTCCACTGATCATGTTTGGGGAGTAACTAGTTCGTAGTGACTATCAACAGACCTCCGAGCGGTGTAATAGTGACCGGGTCGGAAGCTGAAGCCCGAGCGCTGAACTTCACACTCGTAGTCGTACAGCAACTCGCTAAAAAATGGTTTGGGGCCCAGCTACGGTGGGAAACATGAGCATTTCTTTGTCAGTGTCGATGTCGATCCCCCACTCCACTGAATCACCGAATCACCGCTGTCATTGTCAATGTTGATTGATCATGTATCATGTTTAGGGGGAGCAGCTAGTAACTGT